CTGAATGTTATGCCAATAATTAGTTGTTTAGTTCAGTTGTCTACCTGTAGAATTTCAGCGTCGTACATATAATAATTTACGAGATAATTAAATAAAAGTCATTAGAAGGTGCAAGTCCGTGGTAATCCGACCATGTTTAGGTGGTTACAAAAAAGCGATCACCCAGTACATTGCGCTGTCTTTTAAAATGTTTAGTGTAATACACCTTACGATTTCGGTACAGTTGCGTACAGTGTTAAATACATTCAATATTTATTCATTATTATTACCTATTATTTATTTTGTTTTTTTCCCTAATTGATCTTAAGCACTAGTTTCTTTACTTAAAATTTATTTAGTCTTTTTTACTACCGGAGCTACAATCAACAGAAAATCTGCACTGGTCCGCTAAAATTATAAATATGTAGATACATGTATGAACGATTCACCTGACTGCAATAAAACGAAAATTTAAACCAATAAGTCGAAATCGTTTCATTTCTTTGATTTTTTTTGTAAAGAAATAACACTAAAGTAATTGTATTTTATTTTGGGGTGTATAGAGCTTAGACTTGAATGCATCAAAATATTTAAAGCAACAAGTCATCTACAATAAGTTAAAATAGACCGAATAGTAGAAGAATACAGTTGTAAATTAGAATGCATCAACATTGCATCGCCCAACAGTCGTATACCTCGTAAGAGTAGGTAATATTGTTCTGTGGTCTATACCTACAACCGAAAATTATCTATACCTATGTACCTACCGTTAAGCGTTGAGCCCGTGACTGTTGATTTCTGTTAAAAACGAACAGTTGTTGAATGATATTTTGATATAATAACGGTAATTTAATTTATCGAGTGAAAGTGATACATTTTTATAGATAAAATTATTGGTCAGATAATGTTTGTCAATCAAGAATCGCTGATAATACATCCTTCGCTAGAACGCGGGAGGGGAGGGGCGAAGGGATACTTCATTGTTTGCAATTTGCATCTAGTGCACTAAACTTGACCCTTAGGCAGATAATATACGTGTTGTAAAGTACGTGTGCGCTACCGCTTTCTATTTTTGAAAATATTTATCGTATTCTTGAGAGTTCTTCAATATGTGTGTACCTAATTACTAATAATAGGCATTAATGCTAATTCGATTCAATTTAAGTAATCGTCAATTCTTGTCTTAGGATATTAATTACTAATGCTAATATTGAAATTTCGTTCAGGGTGAACAAATTAAAAACGATCATAACTTTTAGGTAGGCATATCACTTATTACTAATTTTACATAAATAATTTATTTTATTATAATTTAACTCACCGCGATTTTGTGATCAAATATTTTATTTTCTCCAACATTATTACAGAAATAATGCAATACAGAGTTGGTTCGCGATATGCTAGCCTAAGTCGATTCATCACTTAAAAAAATCCCCATCTATTCAGAAAATACCTATTTACAACGCAACGTATGCGTTGTAAATAGGTATTACACTCTTCAAAACTTATCATTTCATTTCATTTCATTTCATATTTTTTAAATTACCTATACCTACCCTAAAATTAAACTACAATTAACAAATACTACGCAGGTACCAATTCTATGAACAAATATAAACAATTCGCCTAAACATTACGAGAAAACAAAAGCATTCAAAACAATACCTAATCTCCCGGCTGATTACTAATTATGCAATAAACAATCCTAAATAAAAATTATTTAAAAAACATGTAGTTTTTTGTAACACTTATGTACATATCCGTAGTAAACTGGCAAATAATATCCTACATATTTTAAAAGCCAGCACAATGTACTGGGTGATCGCTTTTTTGTAACCACCTAAACATGGTCGGGTTACCACGGTCTTGCACCTTCTAATGACTTTTATTTAATTATCTCGTAAATTATTATATGTACTACGCTGAAATTTTACAGGTAGACAACTGAACTAAACAACTAATTATTGGCATAACATTCAGTTTATATATCCACACACAGGTTTATCGGTGGCCAAAAAAGGCCGCACACATTGTGATCGTGAACGTGGAGAGCTACATTTCATCATAACTTTTTAGTCACTTACAGTATTCTTACGAAAATTCGTATACATTTGAAGGTAATAACAAGCAACACAATAACGTTTCAAGTAAGTCTTTAGAGGTCTTATTTAAAGTGTTAGGACGTATTGAAGTGTTTTCATACTTACCTAAATAATTTTTAAACGGTCCATTATTTTTATTATTTTATTGTCGAACAAATTAAAACTAATCCTTAAGAAGTTATGTACAAAAGATGGTTACAATCCGCTTACCCGTTTCAGAGATCCAGCAAACCCACAAACGTTACTCCAGCAGGATTTCGAATAACTTCACAGCCGAAGAAAATACAAATACCAAATAAGTTGTAACATTTACCTAGTCCAGATAACTAATTATTTAGCTAAAATTTATTTCAATATTACAATTAAAAAAGAAAATGTCTGGCTGCGGTAACGTTTCAAACGTTACTCCAGCAGGAAATGTTTTTTTGAAATAACTAAAAAAGTTTAAGTGAAACAAATTTAAAAATGTGCTTAACAATTACAGAAGGGGAGCAACTAATTATCTATAAAGTTTAAATGACCATTTTCGACATTATTTTGCTGGGGTAACGCACACAAAATAATTTACTAATTTATTGCATTTTGCACATATTTTGAATATTTGTTATCAATTTGATAATTATCTGCCACATATTTTTTATTTGCATTTTTTTAGCTTAATAAATTGGTTATATTTTAATATAATATGTCTTAATTTTTTTAACCCAAATGCGGTAAAACCTAAGCATGGGCAGTCTTTGACTCTGTGGAATACTGTTATATTAGAACCATACTAGATGTGCTTTTCAGTCACACAAACATTTTTCTAAAAGTTTAGAAAACTAACTAAGGAATTCATAGGAGTATAATATTAGTAGCCATATTTTGTTTATTTATTTTTAGCCACTGTACTTAAGGATTCAGGGAGCGCATCTATTTATAATTATTTAAACCTGTATTTATATTATGATAGTAAAATCTCGATGAAATAATTGGGATATTATGTTTTGACTCTAGTACTCGTAATAATTCAATTGTCTTTCCTAAGTGGGAGATAAAATGGGAAAAACGGAACCCTTATAGTTTCATCAAGTCCGTTCGTCCGTCGTATTAGTGCTATAAGCCTGTAATTAATATCGCGTGAACATACATACTTACCAATCATTCCGACAAAATAGTTACTTAAATAAATTCTAGATATTTTTTTAGAGTCCCACCAGTCCCTTTGAAGTGAGGATGTTATTTTTGGATTCATCCATTCCATGATGTGGGGTGTCATTGGATAGGTCTTTGAAAAAATTTAGGGTTTGTAGAGAGTATTTTGATTACGGTATCCGTTTGAGAGATATTTAGCTATTTTTTGTTATAGTCAAGCGTCTTCCCCCCCCCCCCTCCTTCCTAGCCAAATGGCACAAGCATTCATAATGAATTTAACAGTAACAGCTAAGTAGGCTTCACTAGCCGCCGAAACCGTTAATGTAAAATATTTACCTACAACATGAAATAACTACGGAGCCCCATATTTAACGTGGCTCGACACGCACTTGGCCGGTTTTTTTTTAAACTCTATTATTATACTGCTGTTGTAATGTAACACGAACGGAAAAAGGAAAAACGCAATTACGCTAATCCGAATAACTCGACTCACGAAGTGACTTCAGAAGGGGAAATACATATTCTAATGACGTCACTTTGTTTACCTACATTAGTAACGCGTCAGTAACATAAGGGCACTCAATTTACGCTTATGAAATGTATGTTTATAAGCGTACATCGTGAACAAATGTTTTATTTTATTTCTATTTATTCTTTAAACGTTTAAAAATATTTTAATTTGTTTTATATGAATAGCATTTCTCAAAACACGATATTTTGTAATAAATGTACAGGTAAGTCCAGACCTAAAACTTTGCTAAACCTATAACTAAAATACAAAGTAATTGGGAAGTAGATAGTATATTCAAAAAGTATTTTAATGTAAATCAAATTAAATAAATGAAAAATGAACACAAATTAAATAAGACAAATAAAAAAATTGTTACTTAAAATAAAGTCTTTACCTCCACAACGAAGTAAACAGTTGTTTATGTACCGTACCTACGTTTTTCTTATTTTTCTATCTAGTTTCACATACTAGATCCCGAAAACCCAAAAAAATTAGGGACAGTTTATTAGTCACAGTGACAGTTAAAGAACTACTCCATAGCTCGCAGCCACTTCAAAGGAAACTCAAAGTTCTAGCCAGTAGATATTTTACTTTTTAAACGGCTGATACAATTTGTATAAAATAGTATAAAAAACGAAATAGCGGAAAACTTTGAGCTCAAGGTGAACAGTTGTTTAGCAAGTATTGCGTGTAGCGTGTATATAATCGTATATGTTTCTTTTTAATCCATAACTAGCTAACACTTTGTAATTTACTTCAAGCTGTTTATTTATAAAATTCATTATAAGTGACGGTAACTAATTATCTCTTTATCATCATCATCGGCCATTTTCCTCAAGTTGTCGTTGTGTGACCATCGTGACGCAGGGTGCCGTACGCTACGTTTGCCTAATCACGGTCTCCACTCTCCACTCTACACATGTCGGCTCTAGCGACACACCGTTTTATTTTGAAATACTCAGAAATCCAATTCAAAATTACTTAGAAATAATTCTATGTCTTTCACGATCTAGCTGTTAATATAATCCAAAAAAGATAGTAGAGGATAGACCCTTGTAGTGAGAGTTAGGTTTTACTAATATTTAGTTAAGAATTTCCACTCAATAAATACCTAGTCTCATTATACAAGTTATTGTTTGGTTAGGTTAGGTTAAAGAATTTGTGTAAATAATATTCTTTTCTAATTTGAATATTAAATTATTTAGAAATAAAAAAAATATGTATTACAACAATTGTATACATTTATTAAAATACATTTTAATACATTAATAACACTATTCTACTGTGTTAATATGATAATATTTTTTATCATCATCACTTATTCTATTAGGTGCACCGGACAATGGATCTCTTCCATCATGAGACTTAGGGAAAGCTATAACGTCTCTTAATGACTCTGCATTACAAGCCACCGTTACTAGTCTATCAATACCCAATGCAATACCAGCATGCGGTGGACAACCAAACTTCAACGCATTCAAAAAATGAGACAACTTGTGCGGATCTATATCTAGCATTGTCATTATTTTCTTCTGTAACTGAGCATTGTGTATACGGACAGAGCCTCCACCTATTTCGTTCCCATTCATGACAATATCGTATGATAATGCTCTTACTTTCAATGGTTCAGTGTCTAAAAGATGTATATCATCAGGATGTGGAGCTGTAAAAGGGTGATGACAAGTCTCTAAACCATTATCACCCTTTAAAAATAAAGGAAAATCGACAACCCACAACGGTGAAACATCTTGTTTAACTGGTAACAGGTTATTTGCTCCTAAAAGCTTTGCTATGAGTAGTCTTATATCTCCTAAACATTGTGCTGAATTTTCTGAATCACCTAATGTAATTATTGCTGCATTTTCTTGCCCAACATATCCTTTGATTTTGCTATGTAGTTCTGAGCCTAGGTCTTTCAAAATATTTTCGTTATATATCACTTTGCAAGGATGCTTTTTAATGTATTCTTTTATTTTTTCTTTATATTTAGCTGTTAGTTTCCCTAATTGCTTGCTATAGGGTAAAGCAAATGCTCCAAAGTCACTAGATTGTTCAGGAAAGAATTTTTTCAAACTCAAAAACTTTAAATCAAAAGATATATTTGGTTTATCTGATCCATATGTTTCTAGAGCTTGTTTATATGACATCCTTTCGAAGGGTGGTTTAGGAAGAGGTTTAACAAATGTATCAAAGAGTAATTGTTCAATCATTGACATAACACAATCCATGTTAGTGAATGATAGTTCTATGTCCAGCTGAGTGAATTCTGGCTGTCTGTCTGGTCTCGTTGTTTCATCTCTGTAACATCTAGCAACTTGAAAATATCTATCGACTCCACCAGACATTAACATTTGTTTGAACTGCTGCGGACTTTGTACTAGTGAATAGAAAAGACCAACATGGTGTGTGGGGACCACAAACTCTCTAGCTCCACCAGGAGTTCTACAAAACAATGTAGGTGTCTCCACTTCAACAAATCCATGTTTCTCTACAAGAAATCTTCTTATATTGTGCAGCATATTAGATCGTGACCTCAGAATATTTTGCAACTCGGGAAACCTCAGATCAATATAACGATGCTGTAGTCTCAACTGCTCCTTCGGTTTTTGATAATCTCTTAAATTAAATGGAAGCTTACCAACCTTGTTTAATACCTCTAGCTTATTTATAATCACCTCTACTTTTCCTGTAGTCATAGTATCATTGACCATATCTTTTGGTCTCATAGCAACAGTCCCTTCCATCTTTACCACAGTCTCTAAGGGTATATCTGATAGTAATGTTGTGTCATCAACAACAACACATTGTGTAAGGCCGTAAGCATCTCTAAGGAGAAGAAACTTTGATAGCCTTGAATATTGGACCCAGCCACACAATGTCACTCTCTGCCCTTCGTGTCTAGGTCTTAGTTCACCACATGTATGCGTTCTATAAGTAAATGTATTGGTATTAATGTTGTCTTCAAATATCTCTTTCTTGTCTATATTCTGTACACTAGTATGCAGTACTCTGGTTTTGTATAAAAAATCATATTTCTTACTTAAACTTTTACAGAAATTGGTATTGTAATTTTGTGAATTACGTGTAATACTAGTAAAGTGTGGGTGCTGACTTGTTTGAACTTTATATGCACTGTTAGTTGCAGTTTTTAGGCGGTCTTTATAGCTTAATCTATATACTCTTATGTTCCTTGCCCACATTTTCACAATAACTTTAAATATTCTACTATTCTATTCTATCTATTTATGACAGTTTATTTTCATTTTTTAATTTTTTTACATATTAATTTATTTAGCGAAATCGTAGTTTAAGTGTAAGGTTGTACAGTCTTCTGCTAGAAAAACCGTATTCATTTGATATAAAATATTGTTTTAAATTAGTTTCTAAGAGTTCATAAAAACTTTGTGGATTAGAATTCGTGGTTAGAACGTAAACGTTAGACAGATATTGACAGATATGACAAGACAACATCAACCAGTGTTGCAAGAACTATTTTTAGAGATGCTTAGGGTCTTACTCAATGTGTTGTTGTTGATGACACAACATTCCTATCAGATATACCCTTAGAGACTGTTGTTAAGATAGAAGGGACTGTTGCTATGAGACCAAAAGATATGGTCAATGATACTATGACTACAGGAAAATTAGAGGTGATTATAAAAAAGCTAGAGGTATTAAACAAGGTTGGTAAGCTTATTGTCAACTTTATCCGTCTCGAGTTATATATTTAAATACGATATACAGAAACAAACCGTTTGGTAACTACTTAAGAGTCCCTAAAATATTAAAGAAATCGTTGAGATTGGGACATTCCTCCGAAAAATCTTACGATGACAGTGACAATAACCAATCTATATGTCAAGGAAATATTATGACTATTGTGTGCTTATTTTGTACAACAATTACTTTTCAACCAAAAATTGTTGTCAGTGCTGTAAATGGGCGAAAACAAAAGTTACAGCTTTGTACGTCGTGTAAATGCCCTTTTTTACTTAAAATGTTTTTAAAAATGTTACTGATCATTAATATGTTATTCATACATGTAATATGTGTTCAAAATTATATTATATATTCAAAATATAATATTTAGCGCTTTTCATTAGTGCTTTTCTTTCAGCAGCACATGTTATTTCTTCCTTTTCAAAGTTTAACAACGTTTATACACAACAAGTTGTACAAGTTTGATTAACATCAAACTTGTATAACTTGTTGTGTATAAACTTGTTTAATGGAACGTGTCCAGATCGAAGTATGAATATGATTTCTATACATGTTCATATAAACCATGGTATACGAACCGGCTCGAATTATATAGTGTTGTACCAAATTATTTTTGTTTTAAATTTCTCTTCCGTGTTTTTTTTTCCAATATTGTTGTAATTTGAATTTCGGAATAATTTTATTAAACTATTAAATTATCTTTCGTTTTCATATCAAGATGGCACAATTTACACTTTGCTCCAATATGATTTTTTACAAGAAATGACCACACAGATGAGTTTTTTGGGGGAGACAGAGTTCTAAATTTCACTTTCTTTAAAAATATACGTTATATAAAGAAGGGATAAAATAACTAACTTATGACTAAAATACAAATCTATAATGAATAAGCACAAACGAAAAGTTGGAGGTACTCAGGTACATAAAATAAATAAAACCAATACTTGTTTTATTTATGTTAACAAATTCAACCGCCAGAGAAATGTTTACAATTTTGATTCCATTTGGCATTGATGTAGGCGTGATTCTTTGTATTTTGACACTAACTACTTTTGATATTAACTACAAGTTGGTTCAAGACAATTTTTTCGATTTGATCCTCCATGAATTTGCATCGATCAATCAGCGATTCGTATATTGTTGTATCGATACAAAAATCGAATGATGCTAATACCATTGTATCGATCCAGTTCAGTATCGACACGAATCGAATATCCCTTGTAGTTATATTAATTAAGTACGGCTATAAAAAGAGGTTTATAAAGAAATTGCATCTGTCAGAATAACTTCATCAAACTCTAGTAAAAAAAAACATTGACAGATTGATATTTTTGAACGACAAAACAGGTGTTTAGATGCTAATGATTTATTCTAACCGAAATAAAAAGTAGAAAATAATTTTCTGTAAGTTCAAAAAGAAAAATCATTTTATCGTAACTAACCCTTTCCCGTAAAAAAATACCTTGGTACATTTTGCAGTCCTTTTTAATATTGTAGCCGCCTTTAATATACATCTACTCGATCGTCACCGTGGCCTCGTTCGGCGCCGCGATTGGCCCGCAATGAAATCTAAACCAATCGCAACGCCGAACGCACTCGCTGTCGAAAGTGAGTTGATGTAAAAAAAAACTCGCACTTCGGCCCTCAGGTGACCCGTCTGCTTGCCCCACTATATGCTGTAAAAAGGCCTGCAATAATACATGCTACACAATGTACTCTTCAATCTGATAATATGCGTTTTTTAAATCAATTCAAATGTGTGTTTGAAGTAAAGAATAACGTGGTGTATTTTTATTAACTAAATTTTCCTAAATTTAAAGTGTGTCTGTCTGTCAGTTCATCTTCACGCTTAAACCGCTGAACCGATTTAGATGAAATTTGGTATGGAGATAGTCTGACTCTTAAGAAAGGACACACTGTCTGAATTTTTTTAACGCGCTTACCGACGTTACGCGGGCGAAGCCGCGGGAAGAAGATAGTTATGTATAGGTATAGGTATTATACATTGTTGGTAAGTATAATAATAACCTCACACATTTCACAGACGGCCGTCTGATCCCAAACTAGGTAGGGCCTGTACTAGCATCTCTCCCGTCTACGCAGCAGCCAGCCACTACGTAGCAACCGCCCCGATTCACGGGGGACTTTATCAGCCCCGACTCACTGGGACTAGCGACACTCAGTTCCGTATCACTGGAAGTACTCACTACTGGCACTGGCACGCTCTACAACAGGACATAGACAGCTGACTCATCAAGATATCGACCTCCGATCTTGGAGAGGAGTGATGTGTTGACTCCCACATACGAAGAAACAGAAACATACTACAGCGCCATCTAACGAAGACACACCGAACTACGGAGTAACTACTAAATGTGAATTGCTAATCCTGCATTGCGATATGAAGAATTCTCTTGCCGATTAGCATATAATATACTTCCCAACATCAACTACGATTTCCTATGATACAATTGCTCAATTTGTAGTTAGTTTTGTTTCTACGTATCATAATAATTTTAAGAACTCGGCCTGTTTTAAAGTTACCATCACTGTTTGTATGTAGGTACGACAAGCCGACTATGAACGACACGACTATGACTATGACGACAATGACTATACTTTGCTCTTTGTGTTAAGAGCACTAATTAAAAAGCTAAACCAACTCATAACCATTAACCACAACGAATCAAGTTGAAGACCGTGTCATCTTTAAGTTTCGAAGTCGTTTGAAGTATAACTTATCCATCGTGTAGTCGTTCTTGTGGCTAGCAAATCAAAATTTCTTTTAAATTAATTGTGGATTTTTCACTTCGATATTGCCTAAATTGGCCTACCTACTTGAGCTCTGGTGGTCTGATGCCAATCGCTCCACGTAAAAGAAAACTAAGTTCAGCCGTGTCGTAGAAGATTGAAAGCCGACCCCAACCTAGTTTGGTAAATGACTCAGAGGATGACCAATTGTGGTTTTTCCATAGGCAGTTAAAAATAAGTTGAGACATGGTCAGTCTTGTCTTTGCGAGGTGGGCCCCGATCTGTCGGACGCCCAATTTGGTTTTCGGGCGGGGCGTTCGACAGTCGACGCTGTGTTGCGCCTGAGGGCCGTGACCGAAGAGGCCGTGAGCTGTGGCGGCGTGCTGTTGGCGGTGTCATTGGACATCGCCAACGCATTCAATAGTCTGCCATTCAGCTGCATCAGGGAAGCACTCCACTATCATGGGGTGCCAAAGTACCTGAGGCGGCTGGTGGCAGACTATTTAGAGGAGCGTACCGTCGTGTACGAGGACCGAGAAGGTAATTTGAGGAGTCGGCCCATGTCGTGCGGTGTTCCACAGGGGTCTGTTCTTGGACCCCTCTTGTGGAACATAGGGTACGACTGGGCCCTTCGCGCCTTCGCGATTTCCCCCCCGGGCTGGGTGTAATCTGTTACGCAGACGATACCCTCGTGACAGCCCGGGGGGCAAACTTCCAAGAGGCGGCGCGCCTGGCCACAGGGGGAGTCTCCCTGGTGGTCGGGCGCATTGAGGCGCTGGGCTTACGGGTGGCCCTAGATAAGACGGAGGCCCTGTTATTTCATGGGCCCCGTCGTGGTCCACCCCCTGGCGCCTCAATCGTGGTCAACTCGGTCCTCGTACCGGTTCGGGCCCAGATGAAATATCTGGGCCTGATCCTCGACGGGAGGTGGCTCTTCGACGAGCACTTCCGACAGCTTGCTCCAAAGCTGGTCGGCAAATCATGGGGTGCCAAAGTACCTGAGGCGGCTGGTGGCAGACTATTTAGAGGAGCGTACCGTCGTGTACGAGGACCGAGAAGGTAATTTGAGGAGTCGGCCCATGTCGTGCGGTGTTCCACAGGGGTCTGTTCTTGGACCCCTCTTGTGGAACATAGGGTACGACTGGGCCCTTCGCGCCGATTTCCCCCCCGGGCTGGGTGTAATCTGTTACGCAGACGATACCCTCGTGACAGCCCGGGGGGCAAACTTCCAAGAGGCGGCGCGCCTGGCCACAGGGGGAGTCTCCCTGGTGGTCGGGCGCATTGAGGCGCTGGGCTTACGGGTGGCCCTAGATAAGACGGAGGCCCTGTTATTTCATGGGCCCCGTCGTGGTCCACCCCCTGGCGCCTCAATCGTGGTCAACTCGGTCCTCGTACCGGTTCGGGCCCAGATGAAATATCTGGGCCTGATCCTCGACGGGAGGTGGCTCTTCGACGAGCACTTCCGACAGCTTGCTCCAAAGCTGGTCGGCGCTGCGTCTGCCCTAGGGCGACTTTTGCCCAATATGGGTGGACCCAGCGTCGCGACAAGACGGCTGTACACGGGGGTTGTCCGGTCAATGGCGCTGTACGGTGCACCGGTGTGGGCGGCGGCTCTGACCGCCCAGAATAGGGTACGCCTCTGGCGCCCTCAGAGGGTAATGGCGGTCAGAGCCATACGCGGTTACCGCACCGTTTCTACGGAGGTGGCATGCGCGTTGGCCGGAACTCCCCCGTGGGATTTGGAGGCGGAAGTGCTCGCCGAAGTTTATCGGCGAGTGGCTGACTCCCGGGCGGAGAGCGGATTTCGCCCTCCGCCCGAGGATGTGCGCGAGTGGCGCGAAGCCGCTCGCCGAGCCACGATGGCTCGTTGGTCGTTCCGGCTGGAGACTCCACGAGCTGGCTTCGCCGCCGTGGAGGCTCTCCAGCCGGTCATCGCCGAGTGGGCAGGGCGGCAGCACGGGACCCTTTCCTTCCGACTGACGCAGGTGCTTTCCGGGCACGGTTGCTTCGGAAAGTACCTGCACACGGTCGCTAGGAGGGAACTGAGTCCCGCCTGCCACCACTGCGACTGCAGTGAGGACTCGGCCCAGCACACGCTGGCGGTCTGCCCCGCATGGGCGGCGCAGCGCCGGGCCCTCACTGCAGTCATCGGAGTGGATCTCTCGCTACCGGCCGTAGTACGCTCCATGGCCGGTAGCGACAGTTGTTTTACCGCGGTCGCAACCTTCTGCGAGGTAGTAATCTCGCGGAAGGAGGCGGCGGAGAGGGCCCGGGAGGACGACCTCCACTCGGACCCGATCCGCCGCCGGCGAACCGGGCGGCGGAGGCCCGCCTACCACAGCCTCATGCCGCCCTGAGTGTGGCCGCGGGTGGACGGGGTGGGTTTCCCCTCCACCCGCATTAGTTGGCCAGCCGCGAGGGGGCGGCGTCCGCGTGTGCCGGACGTCGCCTAAAGAGAGGAACATCTACATTGAGACGGAGCCCGCACCAGGAGCGGGCTGGCGCTAGGAGGGGTCCGGATGTCTTAACAACAGCTGTTCCCGGATCCCTCCTGTTACAGGCGCAGAGTGGCACACCGTGTGGTTTTAGTCGGTCCGAGTCCGACACACCACCCCGCCGCAAACCCCGGAGGGGTGACGGTCCGAGGGGATTTCCACACGTTAAAAAAAAAAAAATGGTCAGTCTTGTCTTGCACTTTATTTAAGATCGAATTGAATTTCTAAATGTATAACTTATTACTTAAATAACAAAAGAATCTGGTTATTCTTTCAGAAAACCCTATTGCACACCCCCCTCTCACCCCCACTGCCATAATACGTACTTATAATAATGTTTCACCTGAAAGAACTAACAGTATTAAATATTTATCAGTTACCAAACTTGTTAAAGTAATTTTAGCGATCATTTTTTTATATTACAGGTTATGTTCATCCGCGTTGTCAGCAGAATGAAGAATTACGTTGCGTAAACAGTTGTCCTCCCGAAAAAACATGCAAAAATCGTGATATTCAATTCTCCTGTTTGGCAGTTTACGAACCTTGTCAGTTTAAGTGCGTTTGTAAAGAAGGATATTTCAGAAACTCTTTGGGGACTTGCATAACTAAAGCTCAATGTGGTAAGTATTTACTTGCCGTTTTCGAAATATTTCCGTACACGAATTGGCGTCTAACGAATAGACGTCCTTGCATTGTGTGACTGAAGACTAAGAAGAGCTGTATTAAACGTACCAAAGTGGAAGAGACCACAAACCCCCTGGGCAGACTCCTCCAAACCCTATAATCTGTAGGATCCTAAACGTTTTTTTCATAATTTCCAGATCAATGTTCTGGCAAGAATGAATTTTTCGCTTGCGACTCAGCTTGCGACAATGAATGCTCCAGTTTGCACAAACAAAACAGGACGAACTGCCCAATAAAGAATATAATTTGTAATCAACGTTGCTATTGTGAAAATGGCTACGCTAGAGATCAGAAAGGACATTGTATACCAGTGGAAAAATGCCGTATGTATTTACTTTCACTTAAGAATATTGTAATTTAATTAATACAACAAAAACACAACACTAGAAAGATGCTGTTTGGACTACAAAGTAAACTATTATATTACCAAACCCAAAAATAGCCCCGTTTTAATAACCTTATTTTTTTAAGTCGTTTAAAAAGGTTTTAAATATTCACAAAAGTAAAGTTAGTAAGTAAGGTGTTGTAAATAATTAAAACTTTTTAAAGGAATATTTACTTGAAAAAACAATTATAAAATAATAAATATAATTATTACGTTAAATAAGAACGGTTTCGTAGCAGGTAAATGTACGTTTTACTTTATAATTATATTATTATTTCTTTTAATATTTTCATAGCTCCTGCAAAAACGTGTAAGGGCCCGAATGAAGAATACACAGATTGCAAGAGAACCTGTCCGCCTGAAACTTGTTTGTCTCTGGTTGCAAAGTTTAAATGTGATTCTAATGAAATATGCAAACCTGGATGTGCCTGCAAGTCCGGTTTTCTGAGAAAGAATGCCGATTCGCATTGTGTGCCCATCTGCGAATGTAATGAAATGAAAAACTCACCTGATTGTTGTAAAAATAATTAGATACTCTATTGATATAGATATTAGATACCTAGTTATTTATGATATTCCAATTTACTTACTTAATTAATATTATTTAACGGGAATTAACGCGGCCGTGGTCACAGGCAGTCAGCCTGTGACCACGGCCGGTGCAACCTGGTCGAAACGTCAGGCAAACCAGAGGTATGTAATACCCTAAATAAGAGATCGCGTTAATTCCCGTTAAATAATATGATTGGAAGACGAAATCCAACCGACTAGATTCATTTAACGACCGATTATTTTTGCCCGACCAATCTCTCTAAAATAATCATTACCTAGTCGGTCATAGTTCTAGGTAGGTACCTTATAATATCTGTTTGTGAACGCTTCAAAAATGTAGGTACTTCGTGTGAAGTTATGGTATTTATTGTATTGAATGTGCCATTATTTATTGATTAAAAACTGCATTAAATGATTACCAATTACTCTATTCCTCATTAAAATTACCTAGTACTTTAATTCATTTAATATGTTTACGTACCTATGGGTTAAAATAGTAGTTTGCCTAGTCAAGGATCAACGTTCGACTACACTGATGGCGTAGCGGTTGAAGCGGTCGCCACGCCGCTTACTACTACGCTGAGTGTTGTAAGTTCGATCCCCACATGGGACGACACTGTGTGATCTACAAATTGTTGTTCTCAATCTGGGTGTTCTTTGTGTCCGTTTCATGTATGTATGTTTGTAAAAGTCCCCGCGACACAGTATATATTCCTAATGCGGGAGTTGTCTTTAAAAAGAAACAAAAGACGTTATTTGTATCATTAGATATTGTTATATGAATACAATACAATACAATACAACTCTAACAAATCGTTTCAGCAACACTGTATCACACCATATAAAAATACGCATGTTTAAATCACTCTTCGTATGTGACGATATCGTAGGGTTAGGCTTGAATTCGTCCTACGCTATCTTCAATCGCTGACGTCGACCACTAAGTTCCATGAAGCACCGGCGCCGGTAAGTATGCGATAATTATTTACCTATCAAGTAAATCAAATATTTTTAATTCGGTGACAGAAGTTTTTATTGTAACGTAAATTAGAGCCTAACATAATCTGGTAGAACAGGTGTGCCGCACAATTTTTTTTTATCACAGACCTAGTCGGCTCTTAGTTTGTAAGAAATTTTTGTGTTATCAAAATTTAAATCCACGATGGTGGCCCTGCCAGGGTCAGTGACACGTGAGGCAGTAGTAATACAGGCCATGAGTGTTACAACTTTAACATCAGTTGGAAGGCAAATTCATTTGCCACCCCAATAGTATAATAAGGTTCTAATACTTTAATAATAAAATACAATAATCTTAATACATTTATTCAGTCTAGACAAAAAGCCAAAGAGTAACAAACAAACCACTTAACTAAACTTAGTCTCAGTGCATTCTCTCTGAATATATTAAGATATAGGCACAAGGAAGCACTGAATAGAGGCAACTTTACATTAAGTAAATATAGGCCTTGCAAGAGTTAAAATAAAATTCTGTAGTTAAACTTACAACTCTCAACATACATTAGAGCAGGAAATTGTATAATAGGTACAATGCTAACTTTACTTATAATTTGAAGTTATTGCCAACAATTTAAATTCAATTTAAATGTTTAACAATATCTTACTCATTAATATTTTTCAAAAATTAAACAATATCAAATAAAGTACATAATCAAATTTAAACGAAAATTGTGTCAACCCTATCATTGTGCACATCTGACATAAAAGGTCAAAAATATAAACTTAGTCAAAATAAAGAAGTAACAAAAAATGTAGTCTCTTAACCTAAAATGCTTTTTTCGCCAATCAATGTTACATGTTTCAAGTAACCAATTGTTAAAATTGGTCAGCCCTGACTTTAGAAGAACAAGATAGTTCAAAGAATTTAGTCTTTATTTATCCAATAAATAAGGACTAAATTGGACAAAATCATTACCTAAATTTATACACAGATCTGAATCACATGGTTCTCCATAGGGGCATGGAACATGGAAGGACTGGTTGTCTTTGCTGGTAGATCTGTTGTGCACTCATGTAGTCATAAGGTATGTTAACACAGCTTGGCATTGGAGACAAGATGGTGGGGTACACTGGCTGGAGAGGAGCTGGTGGTGCAGGCGGTGGCGGCATAGACTGCTGAATGAATTCTGCTTTAAGTGTCTGCAACAAGTGTAAAAAAATATTTAAAAATTGTTTTTAACAAAAGTAAGCAGCTAAGAGCAGTAATTCGCAGTGCAGGGGATAACATACACTAGTTAATAAAAATTCAATCAAAATTTAAATAAGAATCAGTTCGTTTTATGCAAAAAGGCAGTTAAGATAGAAGTTTCAGAAGAACAATACCTTTATAATTTGCAATGCATACTCAGCAGCTTCCACATGTGCCTGTTGCATAGAAATACAAGGCCTTGTCGTTAAAGGCCCCAAATGACGAGGTACACTCAACAGAGGGGTGCCAACATGGGGTAGTTCCACTCTTCCTATCCAAACCTCTGTGCCCGTAACATCTGTGTACTTTTGGTAGCTATACACAGGTGGAGCCCACATGTACCTGAAAATGTTGAGTGAACATAGAACAAGTTTTATTTATTGCAAGATCAATTACCACACATTTTACTTTATACAGTAATAACTAAGATTAAAGAAACTCAACTGCAATATGTATGCCTTAATAATTAATTGAGGGTAGAAAAAAAATACCTTTTACACATTGAGTCAAGCTTAGCTGGAGCCAATGAATACTGTTCCTTAGCACTATTTGCATATCTGGGAGAGCACCCATTAGATGATGACCCACATGTAGACTCCCCTGCACAAGGTGAACCAATGCCTTCATCATCTTTGGTAGAACTGATATATTCTTTCTTTTCTAACTGTTGTTTATAGAGCAATAATGTTTGGGACAAGTTAAAGCTATTGTTGAACTTAGCATTGCCCCTGTTCATTTTCTGTATCCTGTATATTTCACGAACAACTGGTTTTGCCCATCTGATTTCAACAATACTTCCATCTATCTCTGTATTTTGCAGTTTAAACATTGCTATTTCTGCATGCTGCCGTTGATAGAAGTGGATGAAGGCATAGTCATAGATTTTTTTAACTCTTTCAACTTGAGTATTGATTGCAGCTTCAAAAACAGCCTGGATAGTTTCTGGTGTAGTCTTAATTTGAAAGTTTCTTACATAGAGCACCTTTACCTGCAAAGACGCAGGTTATAATCGTTTATCAACCGTCTACTAGCGCGAATAAATATTTACGAGATCGTATATAATATAAATAAACTGAAATTAAATACTATACACCTGCGCCGTTTAAAAAACTGTTTTTACAATACATAAACAATATGCAACAGCAAAGGCATCGGAAAATCGCTTTAGCAGATTTAGAACTTCGCAAGTGGCTGCGCAAAAAATAGAAAATTCGCAAACCAGTTAATGTAGCAATAAAAAACTTACATTATTCATTTGCTCATCGTCAATATCAGGTTCAGGTTCAGCCCAGTCAACCATGACTTCTTGGTCCCAGATCTTCACACAGCCAGGTACAAGCTCCCGTCGCGCCATCGCTGCGGCCCTATGTGAAGTAAACTCCACGAATGCGAAGCCTCGGTTCAGACGCTTATCGTAACAATTTTTGTATAGGATAACGTCGACAATGCCCGCCACACGCTTTGAAAGTTCTTCAAGAACTTCCTCTTTGGTCTTCGTCTTCGGAATATTGCCGACGAAAAGACGGCAGTTGTCAACAGATTTAACGACTCCGATGTGACGCCGTGGTCTAATCTCATACCCATTCAGTTCCTTAACAGCCCTGTAGGCATCAGCCCTCGAAGTATACGTAACAAACGCGTACCCTCTGTTGGACCCTGAGAAATCCATCATCAGACGCATCTCATATATTTTACCAATTTTAGAAAAAATAGGTACCAATTCATCTTCGAAGATTTCTCTTGGTAGTTTCCCGATAAAAACTTCGCATCCTTTTTGTGGTATGGGACCAACCCAGTTTGGTGGCGGGCCAAACCTCCTCTGTCCATTATGTTGAACTAACGGGTACCCTGTCTCCTGCATCAGGTCGAGGAGTTTCCGAGTCATGCACTGTCCTGGATCTACCATTATGATTTTATTGATCGTCACAAGTAATCAACGTACAGTTTGAATGTCTTCAACGAAGTGATCGACGAAAAGCGGTAACATAAAGCAGCGGCTCTCTTTATACTCTTACCGACAATACCGACAAACAACGACCGGCGGTTATGACGTAATTTCGGTTCAAACTTGAGACTAATATCAAGTTTATTATTTTATTTAAATTATTTTATAGAGTTACCGAAAGTGTAATTACGATAATTAAATAATAACGTATTCAAAATATATGTTTAAAACAAGAAGGTAAATACTAATTAAAAATTAAAGAAAAATTTCAAAATAACATTTGAAGGGGTCGATGGGGAATTTGAAAATTCAAATTAAACTACTTGTAAAATAGTAATAGCATTCGAATAAATAAAAGAATTGAATATATAAATTAATTCAATGCTTTAATAAATGCTGTATTTACAATTAGTGAGAAGATTAAATTTCATTTTCGATACTTTGAATCATTCCCGTCATTTGACTAACTAATATTGTAAAGCCTAAAAAAATAGTAATCATTATATTTACCACAATGCAAAAACTTTCAGATAACTTTCTTTGCATTTATGTTTAAAAGTAATTTTCAGAGAAAAGTTTTCTTATTTTAGATCCTTTAATTTCTCCTACTTACTAATAGATGGCGTTAATTTTGTTGTGTTGTGTTATAGATATATTTATAATATGACATGGGCACGCATAATTGGAATAAATCAACACGTTAACTGAATTTAATGTGTGCTGTGCCTACATAGTACCTATTTAATTATATTCATTACATTATGACTTATTTTAAGAGATAAAAACGTAGGCTTATTTGCTAAGAAAAAAATGTCTGAAAAACACTATGACAAAAATACCATAGTGGTTTGTTTAAAAATTATATTAAGCCATGACAAAAAAAATCCGTCCTCTTCCAAGGTAAACAAACTTTACTCTTAATACATTTTTGAATCTCTATTCGAATTTGATAGCAATGTGTTTGATCACAGATAGCTTCGGCACAGGCATATCATAAATTTTGTATAAGTATAATTTTTATTCAATTTATTTTGCTAACTATTTGACAAAACAGAGATTGTTGCTGTTATGTGTGTGTACTACGACTGAAGAGTCTACATAAAAGACGATTTCAAACAATTTGGATTTTTTTTTTTATGAAATTAGGATATTTTAAGTTTGAGCTATTTTAATTATGGCATGGCATTGGAAGATAATATATTCTTTAGTTTGTTTGAAAATTCAACTTAGTTCACATGGTGCGGCTGCAGTGTTGGCTACAAATATATGACAGTGCACTGGCTAGCTCATAAATCCGAAGTACTTAAGTGCTATATTTGCATGAACCATGTCGAGCCGCTTTCGCACGTTCTCTAGGATCTCATATAAAACTGTTGAAATTATATTATTAAAAATATTTTTGGACATCTGACAAACAACGCCATCTAGTTTCAAACTAAGCAGAGCTTGTATTAGTAGTAGTATGTGGTAGATTGACTGATAGAATACTTATATATTTAGTACACATTATCAACTATTTAAAACCCAACCTTTAGCCTTAGAAATGTTTGAAAATCTAAAATCTTTAATGACTGGCAGATCATACAATATAATTTTTTCCTCTTTAGGCCATCTAGATCTAGAAATTTTGTATAAGGCTAGGTTCTATTAAAGTTATAAAGGATATTATTTATTAGAAATCGGGTAATAATTTATTTACCTTAAAGCCCTCTATAACTACTAAGAGCGCAAGTGCAAAAAAAAAGTTTAAACATTCAGAAGTATTTTATTGCAACATGCTTAAACTTGAGACTAAATTCTGTTTCTTTTTTTTTGTGATATATGTATTGATATTTTATCAAAAGATTATAAAAGGTACAGGTAAAATAAAATACACTTGAAATATTCACATTTTAATACATCTCACATTACAATAAGTATACAAAACATTATCATCAGTATATACAAAATACAGTAACATTCAAAGCGAGATACATTATATACAATAATATACATTAAGCAAACAATCTCTTATAACTACGGACACAAAATTCAAATTCGGTTGGCACGTTTTAAATTTCTATACCATATTATAATAGTATACTCTGTTCATTCATTCATTTTCTTTTTGACAGTAGCTTAAGAACGTAACTGTGATACATTTTGAAAAATTAAACAACAAAACTTGTTGTTACCGATTATAGATTACCTAAATATCATTTAATTTAAATACAATATGATACTGTAGTAAGTGTAGTATTTCGTTACGTTATTTATAAAACAATATCTTGTTTTTCTGCAACCTGAAGAAGTGATTTCAAGAAAAGAGACGGAAATGCGTAACAGGGAAGTGCCCTATTTATTTGCAAAATAATGGCGCGCATGGCTAAAGTTTCCCATCAGAAGGCAGCTGAGATGTTTGACGTAAAACATCATTAGCAAATACAGTACGGCTTATTATGTGATATGCAATAAAAATAATTCTATTGTACTATTTACTAGTTATGTCAAGAAAAGTGAACACTTCATATTAAAAAATGTATGTCATGTATTTTTTAATTACTATAAAAAGCCTATCTTTATAGCATTTTATATTATTATACCTTCAAAACATTTAAAATGTAACTTTAAAGTTAGATGAATGAACAAATGAAAGATGATAGACAATAGATGTTAAACTCAATCAACAACTAACTCAATAAACAAAACATCTAAAAATGACTATTCTTTCGCACTGTCAAAAAAAAAGGAAAAAATGAAGAGTTTGACGTTTACGCTGACATCACCAATTTTCTTTTTCTTTTTTAATATATTGTTCCAACATTAAGATGGGCAAGTATAAGAAGTAACTTATATAATGTACTTGTGCAGAATGATTATTTGTGACGTCATTCTTTGCTATGGCCAAATCGTACCGTACATATTATATACGAATTTATATAAAAGTAACGAATCGTTTTTTTTAAACATTCATTAAGTCACTTCTATACATAAAAAAATACTTTTTGAAAGTTAGTGTATTTTCTATTTTACGAAGATCTGGATGGACGGATTCAAAAACGGAATCACTGAGTTTGATAGTCTACAAATTGATTATCAATTAATTTGATGGCCATTTTAAATTATCTACTGATTAACAGATGGCGCTGATTTCACTATGTACAGTGACATCATAACTCATATTTTATGTTTTTATTCATTATAGCATTATTTTAAACAGATAATAGAGGACCGAATATGTAAAGATACAAAATAATCAAATCGCTCGTGCTCTTAAAGAAAATAGAGTGGCGATTTATAAACTCAGAAAATGCAATTGAACGATGAAAAATTCACCTAACACCTCAGTTTAAAAGTCTAAAATCTATTATATAAATTACAGAGTGCATTCTCGCACGAGACCTATTTTGTGTATATTTTGTAATACTTCATGTATCGTACGTTATATAAACGTTTTCTAAATACAGAACCAAAAAAAAAGTACATCGAACGCACATGTAAACTACACGTATAGCTAAAATTAAACATTATCACATTTACTTAATACGTAGAAACAGATCTATTTTGCTAATATTCATGCGCATGCATACATATATGTATGGTGTTAGAGCAGCAAGAGCCCAGAGCCATGAAAACCATGGCTGACAATGTTGCCATACTTCAATAATTAAATTTACGTACCATTTACTAATACTCACTGTTTCAAGTAATTGTATTTTCTAGTCTTCACATTCCTTATTTGAATTTGAAAAAAGAATAACTAATAATCATAAGGGAGCAGCAGCTAAATTATAGTAATTAGGAAATTATTGTAACATCATTTAATTTAAATATTACTACTCTAAAACAATAAAAAAAATACCGCTATATTCTGTATTTAAATTTCCTTTTTTTGTTTAATTCAGTTTAAAACAGCGATGTGAATAATGTTTTAGTGGTTTCGCTAATGGTTACACATATGTATTTATTTCGGATTATAGCTCAGTTTCAATGCCGAATAATAAATTTTTAAAGAATACTTAAACAAAAAATACAAAGAAAAAACATTTATAACATGTGTCACCGAGATCATCATTCATAAACTTTGTCTTGGCGGATAATTTTACAGTTAAGAATATTTTTTATTTTAGATATCCCACAGATACAGTTACGATTATAGCTCTATAACAACTCGGTGTAGAAGACGTCAGCTCTAAAAGACTAGCGGTATTAGTTATATTGTATAATTTTTCAGGCAACAAAGGCGTGACGTCTATAATATGTTTTGCATGAACATTCATTTTGTTACAATGAAATAAATTTACTACTAATCTCTTTTATAATAATAAGTACTATAAACTAAGATACTAAAGAGAACATTACACACATGTATGTGTGTTTAATACGAGTACAACTTATGTCAAAATAGTTACTTAACCATAACAAAACTTTAAAAATAATAGTCACATAATTAACAATTTCAGCAAAAGTAAATAATCCTGTCTTTCAGACACTACATTTCTATAGTATTTTAGAGTCATTAGACATTTGTGCCATAGGGATATATAAACTCGAAAGTCATTAACACGTTACGGATGCTTTGAACAAGACTTTTTGGAACGAACTGAACGAAGTTACTTATCGCGCCTTACACACTCTGAGCGGATGGGAGCGAGACCGAAAAATGTGGAACAAGACTTTTTGCCGACACTTTAAGTTTAAACCAGACTGTAAAGCAAACGTCTACTAAAAAGCGAAAAGAACTTCGTTCCTTCCTTCGGTACTTGGACCCCTCACGCCATTTAAGAAATTCATATCTTAATCTTAGAGGACATACCATAAATTAAGAGAGAATGAATCTACTAACTAGATCAATGGTTCTTTTTTACTAATATTGAACAAGTGACAATGCAAAATTTTGCGTAGTTCACATAGTTTATGGATGATCCTTGCTGTATATATGGTGGGATTTGTATGTGAGCTCCAAAATCAATAACAATCTATGTTATATGTTTAATATGCTTTGCTATTTATAAATGGAATGTGTTGAATGACATTAGTTTTTTCTTAACTCACTTGATAGAAAGTGAAAATAAAGACGAAAAACTTATAATTCTTCGTCTTTATTGTAATCAAAGCTTGACATAATAAACGTAATATCTTAAATATAAAGATTATAGATAGGATCGCTTATTAGGTTCAAGTGAACCAAATATTTTAAAGTAAATTGGTCAGTTATTTTATTACATTTCCGAATTTTGATCCATGCCTTTGTTATCGTATCCTCTGGCAGTGGTGACTGAAGCGCCATCTGTGTCAAAACTCGCGTCCGACTCAATCTCCACGACCCACGGTTGGAGTTCCGCCGAACAGAAGATGCCGTAGATTATCGCGCCGATCAAATAGATGGCGCTGGACATGAAGAATACTATTCGCCATTGTTCCGCTGTCTGTAATTGTAAATGTAAATTTGTAATGTTTACAAATAAAACAGAACACAATACCTAAAAAACTGAAGAAAATGTAACTATGTATATTATATATATTATATAATTTAAACTAAAACCTCCTTTCTAAGGAGAGGCCTATGTCCAGCAGAGGAGTAGTAAGGGCTGTTGATGATGATGATGATGATGATACAATGATACCTAAGTACTAACCTGGTCAGTGACGATCGCACTTGAGAGTGTGGGGCTTATGATGCCGGGCAACGTGGCCACGGTGTTTGACAGCCCCATGAGGACGCTGGCGTGGGGCGGCGCGATATCCAAATGATTCACACTGAAATTATTAATTATTTGTTTCAAAAAAATCAGCTAAGCAAAAAAATACACAGATCAATTGATCCCTAACACGATAAACAAACGTTTACTGGTAAATATAAATACTCAAAACAGATTACTATTTTTGTGAAATAGCAGAATACTATAAAAATAGTTATTTAGCGAATTCCTTATATGAAGAAAAACATACTTAAATACCATATAACGAACGAATGCACACTAAACTACGGAGTAACTATTAATTCAGCATCGTGCATTGAAAGTTCTCATGCCTAATAACTACTGTATACAAATTCTCAAAATCAACCGTGTTGTTCCGAAGTCAGTCAGGTATCACCTAGCTTGGTCAGAGGACCACCCCTTCGAATTGGAGGGACATAACGCTAATTTTTCCACAGTTATGACGATGTTCTTTGTTTTGAGAACTTGTTTACCAAACGGATAGCTGTTGCACGTTCAAATCAGTCTAAATTACCTTCGGTTCTACCGTCAGAGATTAAAGTGTAAATGAAACAAACCAGCGACATTTACATTCAGGAAAAAAAAGTTCATCGCCATCTAGCGGAGACCTAGCTAACTACATAGCAAAAATCTGCTTAAGACGGTCAAATGCAAGTTAACACTTACTTTTGGTACGCGTGACGCAGAAGGCATGAGGTTTAAATAGGCAAATCTAAACAAGCCTATTCACTAGTAAATCAAGTCAAAAAAATTAAACTCTTGATCTTCACATTGTTATGTTTTTGCCCGCAGCTCCGGCAGCGTATACATCGGTTATCGCAGTAAAAAGTAAGTTTTAAATGGTGAAAGAATTTTCAAAATCGGTTTAGTGGTTTAAGAACGCCTTAAAATAAAAATAAAAAAACTCACTTTCACATTTACAATATAATAATGGAAGTATAGACTTTAATAAAAGTATTTTTAAATTGTGTTATGCTAGGTCTATGTCCAGCAGTGGACTGCGACAGGCTGATGATGAAATTGTGTTAATTGTCTAATATAATCTAGTTCGAAATGAATGATAATTAATACCTGAAACCCGACCACGCGAACCCGCCGAGTCCGACCGCTATGGTGAGGAACACCACACAGCCGGTCACCGATGAAGCGTATGCCGCGGCTACCATGAATATCGTCTGAAATGTTTTATGATATTGTTATTATAATTTGAACTTTATTTGACTTACAATAGGGTTTGTATCGAGAGCTGTTTCTTTTCTTAGCTTTTTATACAGTATAACGGTTGTTTTTTTTTATGTTAGAGGGCGCAGACTAGCAGACGGGTCACCATATGGAAAGTGACCATCACCGCCCATGAACGTCTGCAACTCAGGAGTCACAAACGCGTTGCTGGCCTTTTAGGAAGGAGTACGCTCTTTTTTTGAAGGTTTGAAGGTCGTATCGGTCCGGAAATACCGCAGACGATAACCCGTTCCACAGATTGGTTGTGCGGGGCAAAAAGTGTCTTGAAAAGCGCACAGTAGTGGAGCACCAACTATCCAGGTGATGAGGATGAACATTTTACGGGGTCACGGTTACTGGGTCACTTTATTACTATAGATTTTTTAAATTCTTTTTTTAAAGACAACTCAAGCCCTAGGAATATATGAATATATCCTGTGTCACTTAGTCACTTGTGAATATACACTGTGCGCTTCTGGAAGGAGCTTGGCTGGCTCACCTAGTCAACCAATCCTCGACGCATAAAGGACCACTCTGAGTCTAAATGCGGAAACCGAAGCCCACAACCAATACCAATACCTGTGTCACTTAGGACTTTACAAACATTTACGAAACGGACACAGAGAACACCCAGACTTAGTACAACAATTTGTGGATCACACAGTGAAGTCCCATGTGGGGACAGATGTTACTACAGAAAATATATACTTTACTACTATACAATAACACATTAATATGCATGCATTAGCGGCGATTGAATTGTTATATGTTGTAAAACAATTTTTATCTTATCCATCATCAGCCAATCAATCTAAAAGCAAAAATCAACCTTAAAATTTAGTTTCCTAAGTTGAAATTGGATCGCAAAAATTTACAACTTTTTCGTTGGGATTACCTGTGACAAGAAAGCGCCGCAGTTGAACAGTTTCCTAATGTTGGTTCTAGACATTAGACCTCGCCTTAATATCCAGTCAGCAATATGTCCAGCAACTTGCAGTACTATTGCCATGGCTAAGTAAGGTGTAGCAGACAGCCAGCCCGTTTGCGAGGTCTCAAATTTAAAAACATCTGAAAACAAACATATCAGTAGAAATAAAAACTACCATTGCTACCATTTTGACTTATAGTACTGAGTAATTGTTATGTTATTTACTTGACTTGAGGATCAGAAAATGATAAAAACTACTATAATTAAAGTTTTCTTTTATTAAACGTCAAAACATGTTTAACTTAGAATTCTGTATGAATTAATCATTTGTGACGTCATAGTGTTAAATCAAAACTTCTGCATTATTTACTTAGTTTTTTTTTAAATAGCATACCTGAAAGTAATACGGCATTTAATTTATGAAATTCTAATGCAGCAGATCTGGTTTTATGTTATTTGACTGTTAAATGATAAATTTTAACCATAGAGAACCACTCTATTGAAGTACACGAATAAGAAGAAGATTATATAAATAATATTCTATTTATTCGGGTATCTTAAACCCATCCTGTTTTATATTAACAAAATTCAAAGGGAGTTACAAATAAAGATAAATAAAATAACTTATATTATCACCTTTCATGAACGTAGGCAGGAGAGTGAGTAAGGTATAGAAACCCCAGTTCTCGCTGAAATGGGCCATAACGATGGCCCACACAGGCCCCGAGGTGAGCATGGCCCGCCACGGGTGGCGGATCTTACCGCCTTCTACAGCCTGCGTGCCGCGAGAATCCTGAAATTTATTTCACAATAGTTGGTATCAAGGTTCTAATATTGCTTTGAAAATTACATTATATTGAACTATCATAACATATGACCAAGCCAGTGATAAAACCAGGCGTACATTATCATGTAGGCTATCGGTTAGAAGGCGTAGACTTTGCGGCAAAAGTCAGTTTCTGGTTTTGGTTTAAGATATTTATTTCTCAAAAATAATACAATAAACTTATAAATACTAATGAACTTGAAGGTAAATTTAAAACTTTCGAGGGTAATTTGACGGTGTTATCAAACATTGTACTAAATTTTACAAGTAAAACATGGGTATAATAAAAAATAAACAAAGGTGTAGTGTCGTATTACGTATCGATGTCTGATAATAATAATAATAATATTGTACCACATTGACACAACGCCATCTAGTCCCAAACTAAGCAGAGCTTGTACTATGGGTACTAGACAACTGATATAAATAAATATATACTTTTTTTTTGTAAATACATACATATATACATAGAAACACCCAGACCAAATCAAACATTAAATGTTCATGCACACAAATGTTTGACTTGAGTAGGAATCGAACCCACGACTTTCGGAATAGCAGTCCGTTACACAAACCACTACGCTATTCGGTTTCGGTAGCAAGCGGCATTTGGAGTGCCATTCATATAATATACGACTTAGGCTTACTTGGGACATTACTTCATCATCACATTAACAGCTTTTAGTAGTCCACTGCTGGACATAGGTCTCTCTTTAGGAAGGAGGTTTTGGGCTACTAAACCACGCTGACCAGTCGGGTTGGTATAGGGTTTATATCAAGTTTTTCTTCAATTTGCAGTGCAGTTGTCTTGCGTAGTTTGCTCCTTTAGTCGGCTTTTACGTCACCCACGGGATGAATGGGGGTAGTGACACTCCGTATTCTTAATCCGTCATCACCCGGATAGCTTTTGTTTGCACTTCTCAAGCTATCCGTGTAAGCAATTTCTTTTTCCTACCACTGCATTCCCATCTTACAAACTTTTCCTTTTATATTCCTTTTATATAGTATACACATACGAGTACACTACACACAAATACGCGTACCTTAGATCTCAATTATTATTAATATTTATACTTTGTATTTTCTTTCTAGACGAAGAAACACTGTTTTTAAATTATTCCTAATTGATTTTTGTCAGCCGTAGGGTGGGCCTGGAGATCTGTCATACAGGTGTCGAGCCTAGTACAGACTCCAGCTCTCACTGAGGAACGTTATATTATTTTGTTTTAATACATTTAAATACGATACTCTGTAACCTACTTTACCTTATGAGAGAAATAAATGTATTATTATTGTATTGAATTTTCCAATTTAATTCCTAAAGTGCCCGGTTAATGGTTTGCCCCTATTACGTAACCAGGATAAACATTACAGTAGGCAAATAGTGAGTTTTAATATCTGCTTATCGCTTGGGAAATATAGATGAATGTATACTTTAAGGTGTAATATACTGTTTACCTGTATGTACTTGAGTTCTGCAGGGGATATGTGAGGATCTTTTTCAGGTGATTCCTTCACAACTAGCCACCATATTGTCGTCCATACGAGCCCCATTATACCTGGAAGAAATATTTTTTATAAAATTTGAAGGTATTTTAGACAAAACGAAAATATAGGCATGGCAATACTTTATAAACGCTTAATTAATAGAGGACAAAAGTATATTTTTCTGGTTTAAGAAAATGTGGAATATGACGATAGAAGTAATTTTTGCTTTTTGTAAAAACAAACGTTCCTGTTTTAATTTTTGGGAATGAATGTGGAGAAATTACTTTGGCCTTTCGTCAATGGCCACCTAAGTAGACTATGAACATACTTATGTCAATTTCCTGACCTGTATCAGGGGTTTTCGAATTAGTCCTATGAATTTCTTTTTTTTATGTTAGAGGGGGCAGACGAGCAGACGGGTCACCTGATGCAAAGTGACAATCACCGCCCATGAACGTCTGCAACTCAGAAGTCATAAACGCGTTGCCGACCTTTTAGGAAGGAGTACGCTCTTTTCTTGAAGGTTTGAAGGTAGTATTGAGTTGAAGAGTTAGCTGTTTCGCTCTAAGCAAAAAGATACGGCTATTTTAAACGAATAACGAAGTAAAATTAAATTGTGCTTCGTATCAAGGGTCTTGATTCGAAAGTACTACTGACTGCTAATTAATCTTAAATCTTTGTTTGGTTAATATCTTGGTTTGTGTTAAATACTACAGCTGCAACTGATCTGACTAAATACTTTCGTTTGTACATGAACTCAAATAACTGTTGAGCATGAAATCAAATCAAAAGCTGAGTGTGTATTCCTTTGGCGCTTAAGTCCTTTTTCCTATCGCATCATGTTTATAATTGATGTAGGCCATGTCTCGTGTCAGATACTAATATTGTATAGGTATGTGTGCGTGACATACGTATTGACTAATGTCATTGTCACATTAGCGCAATATTGTTAATGAATAACAGTTTGCGAATTTACGGACACCGTCAGCATTACTGTTAAGTGGCTAACTATAATTGTCACAGTAGCATAGATATTGTATCTAGAACTTTTTTTTTATTTATTTTTCGTGCACGGGCAACCCGATTAATGGTATTTGATGTCTGATTCGGAGTTCAATGCAGAACTTGAGCCACAGCCATTTTTATGTTAGCGTGCAGTTAGGGTGTCCATTAATTACGTGAGGGGTTTTCGTAGATTTTCTGACCCCCCTTCACCCCAATCTCACGTGAGATTTAAAAAATGAGTTTCTGTGTAAAGGCTGGCGGTGGCGCATTAACAACGACGAGCTACTGTGCAATTTCGCGGACATCACAATACCATGATAAATATTATTGTATAGGATTTGGCCATATTTCTGTGGAGGAATGTTTTACTTTATTTAACCCAGTTTTCTTGCGATTTTACTCTGTTTCTTGCGGATACAAATACGTGATATTCGCCGAGACCCCTTTACCTTATCTTTACCTTTTACTTCTGGGAGGAGGGCCTCCCCAAAGTAAGGTTAGATGAGATTCGGTTCGACCCCCTCACCCCTGAGCGCCTCACGTAATTAATGTAGGCCCCCTTATAATATTATTATCGCTAACTATTTGTATAATTATAATAATTCTAAAAGCCATTTAATAAGGCACAATAGCACAAAATCAGAGGGCAGAGCCTGCCCTAATGTACCCAGACTGCTGATAAACATCGAATCCACGACCTACGGATACTCGTCAAAAATAATTTAGTATAAGTTATAATTTAGTATAATAGTTTGAGGTCTCATTTAAAAAGGTGTAATAATGTATTTACCGAAGACGTAGAATATGCCGGGCCAGCCGGTGTAGTGCGCAAGTAGCGAGCAGACGGGCATGGACACGACGGTGCCGGCGTAGCTGCCGCTGAACGCGAACGTGGCCAGCCGCGCGCGCTCCGAGCTCGGCGCCCAGCGCGACCACACCGCGTGGATACATGGGTACGTCACGCCCTGCACACATATACCTATACATTAGCATTATAATATTTCATTTTTTTAGGGTTCCGTACTACTCTCTTGTCCATCTGTCTGTCCGTGTGTCACCACCGATTTTCTCAGGAACGGGTGGACCTAGCAAGTTGAAATTTATACCAGATACTGAGGTCTATCTATGAGTTCCCTACTAGGTGTATAAAAACCAAGGTCCTAAGTCAACACGATAAAAAGATATGGACAAATTTAGACTTTCGCGAAAACTTGTAAGTACCAAAATTTACCTTAATTTTCAACATTTTTTATTTTTTTGGCATTTTTCCTTTATTTGTGCTGTAAGACCTTGCTTTTTGCCAAATTTCGTGATTCTATTTCGGGAACTACCATACAGGTTTTCGACCCAAAACCTACAGGGTACTTCCGGTTGACCTAGAATTATTAATTTTGGTTAAAATAAAGGTCTTAAAAGAATTGTTGATGTAATATTCGCAGTGCAATAAAGTGTCTGTCTATATTTGTTTATCCTGAAATCAAAGGATGTAACTGCTAAATTCTTCTAAAAGTTTTTTTTTTATGTTAGAGGGGGCAGACGAGCAGACTATCGTCGCCCATGAACGTCTAAAAATGTAGTATATTGTTAGAAATCTACCAGTTACTGAACAGATCTAAATAAAATTTGACACAGAGATATATTATAGTACATAGACAACTCTTTAAACAAGTTTTTTTTTTGCCAAAACTACATAAAAGCTAGTAAACAATTTACATAAATAACTTTTTGGTATGTATTTTTAAGTACATTATTTTACCTAATATGACTGTTTGAATGCTAATAAAAAAACTTTAATTCTTATAATCTCACTAATATTTTGTTTTACAGAAAGAGTTTTGTATCGGACTCACTTCGAAAAGTCCTTCCACGACTCTGACAGCGATTAGAAGTGCAGTGCTCGTATGCGCAAGCGGTGGAGTAAACAAAGTTAGGAGCGAGGTGGCACCGATGCCTATGGCAAATACCCTGAAAAAAATCACAACTTCATTTTTTTCTTCATTCTAGGTGCGATAAATTGGTGATGCTGGTGATTTCTAGGTATTGTATCACTTTAATTGAAAATAATGTTTAAAAGCCTATTTATTGTGCGTAGTATCTCACTTTTATGGAGGAATGAAAGAAACAAAGTAGGTACAATACCAGAAGCTGATTGGTCTTCTTTGCCTGTCTGTATGACGTCACAAACTAATCTATGATGGCATCAAATACCTTGTTGCAATTATGTTAACGTTTCATAATTTTGGGAATGAGTTCACTTTGATACTTGACTTTAAAATTAAAAACTGTTTTACCTTTCGATAGTTTAAAAACTAACGTATCAAATTGTAATTTAATGTGTCGTTTATAAAACGGAACGAACCTGTTACCTCCTATTTTAGCCGCAAGCCATCCGCCAGGTAACTGAGTTATCAGGTACCCATAGAAGAAGGAACTCAACACCAGACCTTTGACGCTGGGGCTCCAGTCGAATTCAGGTGCCTGAAATGACATTAAATTATATTGTTTTTAACTGAGAGCAAAGGAGAAGATCTTTCAAACTATACTAGGTTCCAAACATGCAACTGGGCCTCCAGATCACCGTGACTATTAGTGTGGACGTGTAGTGACGGATTAAGAATACGGAGTGTCACCAGCCCTATTGAACCCATGGGTGTCGTAAGAGCCGACTAAGGGAGCAAACTCTGCAGGACAACAACACTGCAAAGAGAAGCAAAACTTGAGACAAAACCTATACAAACCCATCTGGCCAGCGTGGTATAGTAGGCCAAAACCTCCTTTCTAAGGAGAAGCATATGTCCAGCGGTGGACTATTAAAGGCTGTTGATGATGATTAGTGTGCAAATAATCTCTCCGTCCTATGAAACGAGATCGTGAATAGTAGTGCGTAGCTTTACGCTTCATCTTGGGAATTTGCTTATAGTTATGCCTAGAGAATCTACAAAAGGGAATGTTTACTGCGCGAGGCAGAATGAGTAGTCTTCATATTGTTCGGCTTGCTTTCGCTAGATGGCGATGAAGTATGTTTTGCTTTCGTCTAGCATTGGCCTGATCTTGACTAAATAATTGGGTGTTCCCTACGACACGATAGGAGTTTGAAGGTAATCTAGCATCTTCTTAAACTTATTCACTAATTACTTTTCTATTGCTTTCTTGTCGGATATCGGAGTGCAAATCCAACGTATTTATTGCTAAACTGCATTGCCTTTTAATACCTACTTGCACTACAATCAACATGTTATGAAACGAATAGCATAGTATGCATATACCATGACCTGTCATAAAGCGCAATCCAATTGTAGGACATTGCCCTTTCCCTGCCACCTTCATGTTGTATAAATATACCTAATCGTCCAAACTAATAGCTTTAAATAGGTAATTTGTGCTGTAGCTTCGTACATGTTTCGTGTTACAGTGAAATCTTAATATGACAAAGCTGAAGATGATTTTAAATATACGTTACCGTTATAGTTAATTTATTCTAAGATTTATTTTAACAAGATAAGAGAACCTGTTTATAATCCCAGCGATTTTTACTAAGTACTACAATAATGTTTTTCGGTTTTTATGAAGGTTAATGAACGTCTTTATTTTATTCTCATTACAACTTTACATTGTGTAACAACAGTGCTATACAAGAGTATTTATTTATTACTTTACATCAAAAAACAGTGATTCCCTTAATGATTGAAACGTTAATTAATCTTATCGGTAGGATACGTTATGTAAATATTAAACAAAAATCTTTAAAAAAGAAAATTATAGTAACAGTAATAATATCTATTATTTGTTAAATCGGTTTAGTGGTTTTGGCGTTAAAGCGTGTCAAACAAACAAACTCCCTTTCACATCCATACTCTCATACAATATAAACGTTGAAGTGAACCGATTTTAATAATTCTGACCACCCAATGGAAAGCTACATTATCAGCGAGTAATATAGGCTACATTTTACCGTGACAACCAACATACACGCAGGCGGAGCCGCGAGCAAAAGCTAGTTACTAATATGTATTAGTATGTATAGATTTAAAATAACATAAAACTATTTTATCTAGGGATTAACACATCCTTCGGTCACGTTCTAGAGCACAAAAATCAGTTATGCAAACAAAGTAAATACCTATGTTAAGCATTGTTTAATTTGTGATTCTACTTATCTACGACATATATATTTTACACTTATTACATATAACAAAGAAGGTTATCCAATAACGCCGACTTCCTTGTGTTTATTCTATGTATGACGCAATCGAAATTTCAACATCCAATTTCCAAATTACTTCAGTATCAATTTCTTTTCTTTTTTTTTTTAAAGGCAACTCCCGCCTTAGGAATATATCATGTGTCGCGGGGACTTTACGAACATACATGAAACGAACACAAAGAACAACCAGACTCAGAACAATAATTTACCATGCCATTTTGTTCAATAATAACAATAAATTCAGACATTTCACACACGGCAGTCAGATCAAAAACTAGGCAGAGCCTATATACTATCGTAACCATACTTCTGAATTCCTTTAAACATACTTATTTCTAAATACATACATATTATAGATAAATTCCATCACACAATATTTGTCCTAGGTTGGAATGGAACCCACGACCTATAGCTTATCAGTCAGGGTCATTAACCACTAGACCAACAGGCCCGTTAATAACTACTGTTTACTTTTTTCAACACGGTCTCAATATCTAGAATATCTAGATGTACTGAAATTCCTTTTCATAAACTTATCAGCTGACAGGATGATATAGATCCCAGTACTGGTACAAACAAAGAAACATTAATCATCTCCGTGTTCTTTGACGCAGATCATATATATCATGCTAGTTGTACAGTTTCATCTCAAAATGGCTGTCATTTTGAGTTACACGAACTATTGCCATAATCGATCTGTGAGCAATCTAGCTTTTTTAAAATTGCCATCCGATCTTATTAGCTTTCCCTTTGATATTGAACTAAAACAAGAGAAAAAAAAACTATTTTATTAGATTTCCCTTATATATTGAACTGCTATATTGCCCCATGTAATTTGGCTTACCTACATGAGTGAGTTTGAAATTTTCTATCATCAGTAAAACATGGGCGTTTAAATACGCCTGCTTACCTACCCCAGGCTGAGTGGATGATGATAATAAAACCGAATAATTGATAATAAATTAGCCATAATAACTTATTTTTCCGTGTAGCATCAGTTTAGTAATAAATTAGACGTGGAAAAAACAGTGCAAAAATAATAGGGTAATGTTAGTTTATTGGGTAATACCCAGAAAAATTAGTTAAACGGAATAGTTTTGTTTAAATTAATAATTTGACAGGGACAAAAATATATTAGTAAAAAAAGTATTTCAGACATATTATTGAGTTATATCAATAATCAAAAAACCCATATGGGTTACGACGTGTGGTTACACAAAATGAATCTTCGGTTATCTTGAACATATTTGTAAAGGGTAGTACCTATATGTAATTATCTCTATAGTATCTGTATATGTTATTGACGTTTATCACTGTTTTGCAGCTACGATCTAACCAGCCGTAATTTATATACAACACTAGCTGGTACCCGAGTTCGTTCGCGTGGAATTTGAAAAGCGCTGCCTTGGTGGGTTCGATGCCAAAATTGCCAAAATTTTAAAGGGTTTTTCTGAGAGGAAAAATAGCCTGAGTTATTCCTTATGTATACCTGGTAGTAAAACATAATGTAAATCGGTCCAGCCGTTTAGAAGATTGCCCGGAACAAACAGACAGACAAAAAAAAATAGTTTTTAGGCATATAGCATTTTTGGTATTTGCACGATACATAACCTTGTGAGCTTAAAACAAACCTATAACTTTGAAATTACAAACAGACACTTCAATTTTATTTATTTGTATAGATGTAACTATTTTGTGATATATAGGTATGTTTGGCATCTGTCGCCCTGTATGTGAACCAATAACTATCATTGAGTTACATAGATATATACTTACTAATATAACGGTTCCGTTTGCAAGTTTTGTTTCCACGGGTTCCGTCATGGCTACCACGGCCACAGATAGGTTGACTCGCAACGCGTAACAGTTAAAGAAGCCAAAGAAAGCTAGAAGAGCAACCACCAACCGCCGCCGGCGCCAGAAACACCAGGTCATCTCATGATCTTTTTGATGTTCTCTGGAAAAGAAAAAAAAACTAGATTTTAATATTTTATTACAAATCGCCTTATTGATTAAGCATAACCAGCATACCAATGCAAAGAGACATAATTCTCATGAATTCAAATATTTGCACCAATAAATACATTTTATTGGTTAAACTTAGTTCAAATTTAATAATTTCCCAATCAATATCATTTCATAAATACCTAATATGATAAAAAATATATTGAATATTCAAGGGCATTTACAATTTTATTCACTTGGTGCGTACTAAACTGATAGACAGATCAGAAAGCAACATAGCGTAGGTAGGTCAAGAAATATTGAGTACCAAAAACCACATTACTTTCTTTGCGAGACGTACTTTCATAATACTCATTAAAAAGAAAATAGTTACAGATGTCTTCCACGGTAATTAAGCATGGTATGAGTTTAAATTCGCTTACGCGCTTCTTTTTTTAAATTGGCTATATTGTAAAACATAATACTACGCATACACAATTTCGAGGTAAAAAAAATGGTTATATTAAGACTTAAAAGCAGTAATAAAATACATATTTCTTATGCCTAGTTTACACGCTTGGTGAGGCTTAGCAAACGTCCACAAGCTCCAAGACTTTACAAACGCTTGGATGCCATTTACACGCTTGTGAGTACGTGTTCCGGACAGGCAAACCTAGCAGATTTGGAAGTTGAAGTTGTAGTTGTAGTGACAGGAGAGCATTGGGACACAATGTTGATTCCCAATTGCTCAACTATTATCAATTTGAGCAGTTTACAACACGAACTAGGCCACGATCGGTATTTTATTGGGCCACTGTATTTTTCCATGTATCTCTCAGGTTGGCAAGTTTCTCAAATGAACAACAACAATGTGTACAATGTGCAACAGATGGGTTTTCCGTCTCCCGATGAAGGTCTCAGTGAAGAGTCTCAATGTGGTCATCACAAAATTAAATGTCTTTTGGTCAATGTAGAAATTGGCAACAGACGAGAATGCTTGACGAGCTGTGAGTGTCGAGACCTCGACACGGCAGTTATCTTTTGACTAAGGTCAGAGCCGAAGCTAGTCAGACATAATCGAAATACATAGTCTGAAAACTTTTGTACTTTAATACAAAGCTAGCATCACTACTACACCTGTTTCACTATCATTAATCATCAGTATCATTCTAATTCAGTATAAAGTTTGGAAATGCAATAATCCGTATTCATTAAATCTATGACTTTAATATATAACATACTTACTTACGCTTCTGCTTACCTCTTCGGTGATAAAGACGTGAGTATATTTATTTATGTATTTCAGAATAATCTACCTTACTAGCGATGGACATTATTGCTACTTTTAAATCATTCTCATATGATAAAAGGTTTGTTTTTAGTCACTGCGATTTCACCTGTAATAAATCAATACTGGGATTTGGTCATAGACAAAGATAAATTCTATCAAAAACTTAAGCAAAGAAAAACTTTTTATACAAAGACTACGACTTTTTTTTAGACCTTTCGCGAGTTAGTCGCAGTGGCTTTGTAAATTAGTTACAGGTGTGATTATATCATTTATGAATCATATGATTTATTACAGGTGATTGTGATTTTATTCCATTCTATACCTTGCCATATCATGTTATTCGTATGCGAGCCTTTTCGAATTAGATAAGGTGTGTACGTAACATGCATAGACTTTATACCATGCTCGATTGCAAATTGTACTACATGCTACATTGCTAGTCATGTAGAAGTTAATAATATTAAAATTTCGCGTTCCAATATAGTAAAATGATGTTTATTATGACCGGAATTAACGCAATCACTTATTTAATAGGCATTTTATGTATACCTGTTTTGACGTTTCGACTCAGGTTGCATTTGCCGTGGTCATTGAACTTTGTCCATTTTGGCATGTCTATTATAGGTATTAAATTCGTTTGCGCGTTCTTTCGACATAAGATTACATGTAACCATGTGTGTGTCCCGTTAGTTTTAGATCAGCGGTCTCTTTGATTTGAATTCAATGAACTCCAGATACTAAGCATATTATATTTTCAAATACGAGTAAGTGTTCCGATACTTAATGTTTATATGTAGAAGACGTGCATAAAGTTGCATTTTAAATTAATATAAGCCAACAACAAAGTTAAAAATGATGAGAAACGGCTATTTCAAACAATCCAGTTTTGACCTTATTTGGACCTTACATAGCACCTACTATAGTCTACAAAAATAAGTTATAAAACGTTTTGTAATTTGGTTCTCTTTGTTTTAAAGGAAGATTATAAATAATAAAGCTCGCACAGGCACAGGTCCGACATGATCTAGCTTTGTAACTACATGATAGGCAATTCATATTTTACGGTCGATTTCTAACTAGGTATATGTAAGGTTTATTGTATTGCTGTACATAACATAATGCTTCTTCAACAGAGATATAACGAGAGCTGTGCCAAAGTTGTTTATACTCATTATTCCAATGACGCATGTAACAACGTCGACCGCTAATTACAAAGTGACCTTAAAATTGCTTCCACACGATACAATTCAGGTACTTTAACGACTGATCCGATTGGTGACTGAGTTTGTGTACGGTCTTGTGTACGGTCAGGTCATGTGTCTCTTCTACGTGTACAAAACCAAATCGTCAATATTCATTCGGCTTTATTTTCTGAACTAGACGAACGTTTGTAACAAAGGTTTCTGTATTATATTGTATTAATTTTATCCTATAAATCATCTAAAAATATAACCACCGAACCGATAAAACGCGATTATAACAATACATTATAAAATTATTATACTTTCATTTAGTACAGCTGCAAGCAAATAAAAATTATTAAAATAGGTCAACACCATCCACAAGAATTGATTTTATGTGACACGATCAAGTCAAAAACAATTTGGTTGAAACTCTAGTCAAATTGCCCGAAAACGAAATTTTACGGGCAATTTCGCGTGAAAGGGGTTTAAGATGCAAAACATTTTAAAAGGTCACATTTAGGATCCGTGACGTCACACTTTATTTATACAAAATTGTTAAAGAACGCGTCACAAAAGTAACTGTTTCAAATACTCACATAGTTTTACATTCTATTTACAAACTGTGACATTGACTTGTCTTTTAGTGTCAATCATGATGTTTTGCAACCTATACCTTTGGGTGCAGTATTGTATGGTTGTATTACTCTCATAACAATGTAGACAGCGTATTGTGATTATTTGAAAAGCAATTTTGAAATACCTTGTCATGTATGCTGGTATTGGCAAATATATTTATATGTATGTAAGCCTGGGATATTTAGATCACTAAATATTTAAAAAAATCGATAATTTTGCTGGCACCCTAGCCGTAGTTGAACAACTTGGTTCTATGTTTATTGTAATTATGCTTATGTCCATAATATGAATGAACGATAGAAACTACCAAAAACTATTATTATTAATATGAAATAATCATTCTTCAGCAGAGTTTCTACGCCCTTAATTATGGGTTTGTTATCACGACTATGTTGAATGTTGATTTTGATGCATATGATTTCAGAGCCTTATAGTTAATTTTGAGCCCCTTAGAATAAAAGTGACATAACTTGAAAGTCCTAGATGATGTTGTCATAAACTGATCTTAAAAAGCCTACTCTAGATTCTAAACTTTTCTTGACCGTGCTATTCATTTATGAATACTTTTTGCTCATTCACCATTGTATTTCATCCTTAGTTGTATTTCAAATTCCTCACTTCCATTCTGAGAGTGCGATTTGATGATTTGACAAGAAAATATCATCAAAACTATTTAAATTTTGTGGAACGTATTGTGCGGTTATCTACATTCTGAAAACCGTTTCTATTTTAATTATATATTCTTAAGTATTTTAATATCTATATTAATATCTTCCATAATAACTTAACTCTGTACGTTACCTAATACCCAGTTTTCTTATATAATGGTGAGATGTAGGTAATGGAGAGATGTAGGTAATGGAGAGAATGGTAAAGGACTGGATACAAAAACCGTCTCCGAAGTCATTTTTTGCCGTCGTGAATATGATCTGCTGTCATCTACAAAATCAAAGTATTCCCACAGTGAGCAATCGCAGTGCGTGCGTAAACGACAGAGACACGAATGATGCCGAAATATATGTCCTATTTAATGACTGCAGAAAATCATTCTCATCACGCAGGCCCAAACAGCAAGTTGGGGACAGAGAATGATACCGCTGTGTGTTTTGCAAAAAAACGCGAAAAGACACGTTAATGCACACGATAAGTAGATACAATTTTGTAATGTGACATGCATTGCAATGAATTTCTACCAAGAACATTTTTTTCGTTTTTGGGCCGAATCTTAAGTGTGGCCTAGTTATTTAAGAGTTTTTTAAATAGATCAAAAATAAAAACAGAGTATGTAATATGATACTTGATGATGGGCCTCCCGTAACTCTTAATGGGTAAATGTCTAATGTAATTTATACGAAAACCGGCAAAAATTTCACTGTTTTTAAAATTGATTTTCTGCTGAGTACGGGCTTACTCTCTCTACATATAAGTAAACCAAACAACGAGTACGCGTCTTTCAAAACCTTCGAGCAGATCATGGAGGCGAGTACAGATTTTCTAAAGCAGATTTCCCCCACCGTTAAAGCATGTAAGATTCAATTACGAGTAATAAAAAACTTGAACTTCGAAAAGAAAGAAAGAAGTAAATGGTTATAAATGACCTCTTTTTAACACATGGTCACAGATATTAGTGCCAAACAGAAGCGCGTGGGTCGAAGTGTTGTAGTTTAAGCTTTACCTACAATTCAATTAGATATTCTCGGGACATTACAGAACAATTCCAGAACGGCGTGACTAAAAAAGAGATTCAAGATCCAAAAGATTTCCAAAGACTTACAGATTGTCTTCCCACCACATCGCTGGATTCACTTCTTATAACAGTATCTTTACTTTAGAAGAACGACTTTAACACACTGGATCAATTTTGCGACCTTCGAACGCTAACCCGGCACGGTTTGAATCGCG